GACCGCTCCACGTGTGTTTGAAGATGGGACAAGGACGCTGAACTATGGCGCTTGTGTTTCTCTAGACTAGAGTCTAGGGAGGCTGTTATTCTACCAAAAGAGATAATAAGAGGCCTTTCTCTTTCAATCTCTCTTATTTTTACAGTTAAATATTGGTGTAGATAATAGATCAATGGTGTTCAAATGCTTTTTCTTGCTTTACTCAAACATTACTTTCTTAAAATAGTGGCCGACCTTTTTCCTCTTTATTATTTACAAACGACTGTGAACAGAGAAAATGGATGAAAACAAATGTTAACTGAGAACATTTTTTCAAAAGTTTTTCTGCTAGCCCTATCAGCCTGGGATCACTTGTAGTCTGACAAATCTATAGCCCCCGCAAATCACCATAATGATTTTGACCCAGGCCTACAATGAGTGAGGTCATACAACAGAGGAAGCGTGAGACATGTCACCATTCAAAGGAATGGTTTTATTAGAAGATGTTAATGAAGACTAAAGGTAAGTGAAATTTAAGTGAAACAGTGTTTGGTAGGTTCAAAGCCAATGAAGGCTGTGTGAGTTTAAATCAGGTTTGGACCGGGACCTATGGTCCTATTAACTTGGAAAGTACAAAGTGAACATCGATTCTAAATATTGTGCCCAGATACTAATCTGTAGCCCTGAACTGGGTGTGGAATTTGAGGCTGGTTCTGTGTGCCAAGATGACGAGCCAAGGGAGAGAGAGTACTGTTACGGATACATTTTTGAACAACAAAGTGTCTGATATTTTATGATTTCAGAGAACAAAGTTTCTTATTGAGTATGAAAGCAGTAGTCGCCAAAGTCACTTTGGCTCTACAAGTGCAGAATTTCTTTGGGAGAAATATCTCTTAATTTTCCAGCTGACTTCATCCATATCTAATATGTGAGCCCAGCATATATTTACCTTTTCAGCGGCCTGTTTTTGCTGGTCTAAAGGAAAACATGGCATGTGATTACTTATGTTTGTAGCTAGTACTAGCTGAATCTGTTATTTTTTTTTTACATTTCCACAAAGCACACTAAAACTACAGTTGCATTTGTATCAACTGAATTGGGGACTTTTCCTTATTGCTTTCCTTATTGCTATATTTCTAAGCAGTAAATATGTGGCTAGAGCCCAAATACACTCACTCCATTCAATTCAGTAATCATTGCAAGGACAGTCATTTTCATTTTAGATGTCCTAATAGGTGTATTAGTGATACCACATTGTAATTTTAATTTGCATTAGCCTAATTTCTAACGTTGACCTCTTTTTATGTGTTTATTTACCATCCATAATATCTTCATTGATTGTATCTGTTAATATTGTATGACCATTATTTTAAATGGGTTATTTATTTTCTTATTATTGAATTTTGAGATTTATTTATTCTGGATAACATGATGTGTGACTTGCGAATATTTTCTCCTGGGCTATAGCTTGTCTTTTCATTTTCTTAAAATTGTCTTTCAAAGAGAAGTTCTTACATTTGATGAAGTCTAATTTATCAGTTTTTACTTTATTGGATCATACATCTAAGAAGTCTTTGCCTAAGCAAAGTTACAAATATGTTCTCATTTGTTTTCTACTAGAAATTTTAGAATTAGGTTTTAATTTTCGGTCCATTTTTTAATTCATTTTTGTATATAGTATGAGGTATGGATTGAAGTTCATGCTTTTCCATACGGATATAGAATTGTTCCAGCACCAACTGTTGAAAAGACTATCCTTTCTCCTCTTAATTACCTTTGCATCTTTCTCAAATACTAGTTGTCCATATATGTGTGGGCCTATTTCTGAAATTTCTATTATGTTCAATTGATGGGTTTATCTATCTTCACACCACTACCACACTGTCTTGATTGCTGTGGCTATGCAATACGTCTCAAAATCAGGTAGTGTTAGAATTGTGCACCTGAAACCTGAATAATTTTGTTTACCTGTGTCACCCCAATACATTCAATAAAAAATAAAAATAAAATTTGTACCTTTGGACCAACATCTTTCCATTTCCCCCATCCCCACAGCCCCTGCTAAGAAGCATTCTACTCTCTATTGCCATGAGTTCAATTATTTTAGATTCCACATTTGAGATCATGCAGCATTTGTTTTTCTATGTCTGGCTTATTTCACTTAGCATAATGTCCTCCAGGTTCATCCACGTTGCTGTAGATGGCAGGATTTCATTCTCTTTTTAAGGTAGAATAATATTCCAACACATTGTCTTTATCCAGTCATCTGGTGACAGACACTTAGGTTGTTTCCATGTCTTGGCTATTGTGAATAATGATGCAGTGAACATAGGAATATAAATGTTTTCTTAAGAAACTGATTCATTTCCTTCACATATATACCCAGAAGTGGGATTGCTGTATCATGTGTTAGTTCTATTTTTAATTTTTTGAGGAACTTTCCATACTGTTTTCTATAATGACTATACCAATTTACATTCCCACATACAGTGCAGAGGGTTCCCTTTTCTCCACATCCTGGTCAACACGGGTCATCTTTTGAATTTTTGATAATAGTCGTCTTATCAGGTGTGAGGTGATAGCTCATTGTGGTTTTGATTTGCAGATCCCTGATGATTAATGATGTTGAGCAACTTTCCATGTAACTGTTGGCCATTTGTATGTCTTTAGCAAAATGTCTGTTCAGGTGTTTTGCTTATTTTTTAAAAAATATGTTTTTTATTGACTTTAGAGAGAGAGAGAGAAAGGGAGAGAGAGAGAGAAAGGGAGAGAGAGAGAGAGAGACAGACAGACAGACAGACAGACAGACATTGATGTGAGAGAGAAACACTGATCGGTTGCCTCCTGTAGGTGCCCACCAGGGATCTAACCTGCAACCTAGGTATGTGCCTTGACCGGGAATTAAACCCACCACCTTTTGGTGTACAGGACGACGCTCCAACCAATTAAGCCACCCGGCCAGGCCTGTATTTTTGCATCTTAGTTCCATTTTTACTTTTTATTTATCTGGAACTCTCTTTTTTTAAATTTTCCTTTCTTTATTGATTAAGGTATTACATATGTGTCCTTATTGCCCCATTGCCCCCCCCCCCCACTCCCCCACTCATGCCCTCACCCTCCTGTTGTCTGTGTCCATTGGTTAGGCTTATATGCATGCATACAAGTCCTTTGGTTGATCTCTCTCCCTTACCCCCACCCTCCCTTACCTTCCCTCTGAGGTTTGACGGTCTGATCAATGCTTCTCTGTCTCTGGTTCTGTTTTTGTTCATCAGTTTATAATCTGGAACTCTTTATGAAATATGGTTTAAAGTAGAAATATAACAATTTTCATTCATCAATTGTCTGTGTCATTTATTGAATAAACCTCCCTTTCCCTACTTATTAAAGGTTCTACTTTAATCATATTCTAAATTCTTATATATGTGAATACATAGTATGTACCTTACACATATATGAATATCAATTGCTTTCTGGTCACTCTATTCAGTTTCATTAGTTTTCTTAATTTGTAACTAATTTAAAACCAATATATGAAGCTGAATTAAAAACCATGCATATCTTCTGTTAGCCATAAAAATATCAACATATCTCAGATTCCTTTAAAGAAGGACCATTGACATTTCAGTTGAATAATATAGTTATGTTTTGCAAAGGAAATTTTATTTACATTTAGTAGGCAAAACTTATGTTACAAAGTATTTTTTAAGGAAATAACATATAAGGACAGTGTGTAAATATCCTATACAGAACGAATATTGATTATGGATATTGTCTGTTTATTCTGCATAGCAGGGCTCTTTATTTTTTAAAATATATTTTTATTAATTTCAGAGATGAAGGAAGAGAGAGAGATAGAGAGAGAGAGACATCAATGATGAGAGAGAAACACTGATCGGCTGCCTCCTGCACATCCCACACTGGGAATCAAGCCTGCAACCCATGTGCCCTGACCAGGAATCAAACCGTGACCTCCTGGTTCATAGGTCGACACTCAACCACTGAGCCACATGGGCAGGGCATCAGGGCTCTTTTTTTTTTTCTTCTAAATGTATTTACAGAGAGAAAGGGAGAGAGATAGAGAGTTAGAAACATCGATGAGAGAGAAACATCGATCAGCTGCCTCCTACACATCTCCTCCTGGGGATGTGCCCACAACCCAGGTACATGCCCTTGACCGGAATCGAACCTGGAACCTTTCAGTCCGCAGACCGATGCTCTATCCACTGAGCCAAACCAGTTTCGGCATCAGGGCTCTTTAGAGGACAAACCAGCTAGAGCCACACAGCCCAACTGTAATGGTAGTGCCTCAATGTGTGGGTAAAAGAAGCCATCAATCTAGAAAGGGATTCCCCTCCCCCCTGGATTTTATACATTAATAAGAAACAAGCAAATACTGTTTATGTTTTCAATGGGATTTATTTATTTTTAAGTAAAAGTAGCAAATGTTAACATAAGTTATTTCTTTAGGAAGAGTCATTTTATACAACTACATAGTTATCGAGCAACATTTGTGGAATGTTCCCTGGGTCTTCAGTGCTGAACTGTCTATTATATGCATCGTTTTTCACAAGTTTATGCATAACCTTGTGCACTTGAAGAAGCATGGCGTAGCGATGCAGAGCTGTCACCTGACAACCTGACATCAAAGGAGAAGCCTCTTGAGGAAGAAATTTGCAAAATGGTATTTTAAATGGTTATTTTTCATTTGGTGTCATATGATTTTGTTTAATTATTTTTTCTTCTGATGTTATGAAAACAAACCAGTTAAAACTAAGCAATGTACTAATATAACCAAATACATAGGATATTATGTCTTACATAGGCCGTTTTAGATGACATTGGTGTTTTATATTGCATATCTGCATTTATAGTTCCGGGCCATAAAAAGTTAGAGGCGTGTGAACAAACATAAAAGATTTTTCTGAAAGTTGATGCATTGTTTAACAATGCATTACAGAGTTTTGGGTTTATTTCCTTTTTAGGAGTACAACGAAACAGTTTCATATTAAAATAAAAGATCTTGCTGCTCTCATTTAAAAAAATTTTTATTCTATACATTTTAAGTAACAGACTTATCTTGTAATTTTATTGCTCAAACACTATGACTCGGTGAGATAGGCTTATCAGATTTTAGGCTGACTCTGCTGCTCTCCTACTTGTGAACAGTGATTATTTATTTCCCTGTACTTTCCCACACACGTGCTCATGCTAAAGATCCGAAAACCAACATGGAGAGTGACTGGTAAGAATGTACAGCAATTGGTGAGGGCAATGACCAATTTTAAGGGTTGACGTTTTTTGTTGTGATAAGAGCTCTGACTATCCTGTTAAGTTAGCTGTACAGAGAAGATTTTGGGACAGAAAAAGGCAAGAAACCATAATGCATGCTTATTTAACTGCTAGAAATTCTCTAGTTTGATGCATCGTGGATATTTAGGGTGGAATCTACATGCAACTTCTTCAGCAAGCTTGTTGCTCCATCAGGAGAGTCCATCGATGTCACAGAGGTCTCAGCCTGTCCCTGCACCTGTCCCTCTGTGCTCACCAGGGAGGTTGCAGATTCTCCAACAAAATCCAACGTTACATTTAAAACTGGAGGTGCTTTATTTCAGATATGTATAGTACCTATAAAGGACATATTTCAAAAAACAGAGCAAATCTATTTTAGAATTCTTATAGTATTTTAACAGGGGCAGTAGTTTTTTTTTTGTGTGTGTGTGTGTGTCTATTACAAGTTTTGACTTAAATTTTTAATAAACATACAGATCAAAATACCATAAAAATGGTCAGCCTTTAAATTCTACAAACCTTTCCCAAGGAGGTTCTATCCCATCACCTCAATCGGGAAACTTGAGAAGGGGCCAGCCCCAGGCCCCTGCAATAATAGGGGCATCAACCCTCAACCCCTCAGCAAATTTCAATCAGTGACCTCTTCAGGGCAACCCCAGGCAGTGCCGGATTGGACCTCCATTCCACCACCCACGCAATACTAACCCCAGACTCGCCCTTAGCAGCCATTCCTACAGGAGTGTCTGGGCCGCTGCCTGAGGGAAGTGTCCTTTAATATTAGGACTGAGCTCCACCTCGTTACAGGGGATCTTAGTCAATTGCAACAGGTTCCCTTTAACTTGTACACTGACTCTCAATATATAGTTAAATTATTTCCTCATATTGAGACCGCCTCTGTCCCACAAGGAAGAACAGCCATTTTCTCTTTGTTAACTCAGCTACAAACTTACATTCATAAACGAGAAAAGGCTTTCTATATTGGACATATTAGAGCTCATTCCTGCCTACCAGGACCCTTAAGCGAAGGAAATTATCAGGCGAATTTACTAACTCGCCCAGTAGTTTGTATAGCTCTAGAAGAAGCCTGGCAGTCTCATGCCATTCACCATCAAAATGCTTCTGCTCTCCGTCTATATTATCGCATATCTAGAGAAGCTGCTCGAAGTATTGTGCGTGACTGCGGCCATTGTCCGACTCATTTTCCTAGCCCTGCTACTGAAGTTAATCCAAGAGGACTAAGACCTTGTGACTTATGGCAGATGGATATTACTCATGTCCCATCTTTTGGCAAACTTTGCTATGTGCATGTTTGTATTGATACCTTTTCTCATGTTATCCTTGCTTCTGCACGTACAGGAGAAGCCTTTAAAGATGTAAGTCAACATTTATTCCAATGTTTTTCCTACCTAGGAATACCAAGGGCACTTAACACAGACAATGGGTCTGCCTATACCTCTAGAGCTTTTAAAAACTTATGCTCTACATTCGGCATCTCACATACTACAGGAATACCCTACAATCCTCAAGGCCAAGCAATAGTAGAAAGGGCTCACCAAACTTTAAAAACACAAATTAAAAAATTACAAGAAAATGAGTTTAAATATTCCTCTCCTCATCATGTTCTACAACATACTCTGTTTGTAATTAATATACTAAATGTAGATTCTGAGGGAAATTCCCTGATGTACAGACATTGGAACCCTGATCTAACTAAACCTAAAGCCCTCGTCAAATGGAGAGACTTGCTTGCACAAGCCTGGAAGGGACCTGATGTACTTTTAGCCTGGGGGAGAGGATATGCTTGTATATTTCCACAGGACGCAGACTCACCTGTGTGGATTCCATACTATCTAGTCCGACCTCATGTCACACCGCCCTCCGCCTCTGCCTCATCTTCCTCCCCCCCCACCCCCCGTATCATCCATATCAGCCGACCCAGAGGGCACAGCTGACTCCTCCCAGGACGCCGACACCACCATCAAGCACGGCCCTGATGGACCCGTTGATCCAGCCGTTCAACATGCTGATGCTTCGGGAAGCCCGTCGCCAGCGATGACGCCCGCTAGCCAGATCAACGAGGACAACCAAACCACCGACTTTAGGACAGCTGAAATCCCTTGATTGAAGAGGCCAGCAACCTTCTACAGGAACAAGGCTCCGTGTGCACTCCATCCACTATGTTTATAGCTATGCTCGCTATCATTGCTTGTCAGTCTTCTTCCGAGTCTTAAACAACCCAATCCGAGAGGTGGCCGCTGATTTACACGTGCTATCATTTAAAAAATAAAAAAGGGGGAATTTGCCGGAAGCCGGTCCCTCCTTGCTGCTTGACACAGTCGCTGCAGGGAAGAAACATCTGCACAGCATATGTTTCAAGGGACCTGGAGTATATGGCATACTGTTCTTAATAGGTTTGCTCCCCTACTTAGCGCTATGTGTTTTAACCAAGGTCACCTCTCTGAGAAAGGTTGTTTCCCCAGGTGGGGATTTTCCCCTGGAGTTAGGGATTAACAGGACTAAGGAAGGGAATAAATCAGTAAAACCCCTTAACTAAGTGCCAGGCGGGTAGTCAATCACTTTAACTACGAACAATCACGCTTAAGCTACATAATCTTTACTTATGATAATCTCCTTCAGTTACTTCCTTGTGGCTTAACAGAACAATAGAGTGACCTTGGAATGGAGATAACAAATGCCCTAACCTTTGGAATAGAATGGATAGGATTAAAATCAACTGGTATAAATACAGTTGAAACAGGAGAATAAAGACAGAACCTGGCTAGAGAACCTGGCTAGAGAACCTGGCTAGGCTGCTGATCAACTGAATGCTGTCTCCGTGTCATTCCTTCTTCGCCGACTCCGTCCACACCTTTGGGGACCCCTGGACCTGCTGGGGCAAGACCCCAACATATGGCGCCTGAACCCAGAAAACCACTGGTACCTCTTGATTATCCAACGGATGATAGTTTGGAGTCACCACACGCTATGGACATGTCAATTGTGTTGGAAGAGGAAGAGCCAGTGAGTGTTACTGAAATCCCAGACTGCCACGAGGACATTCACACATACCTCAGGGAGATGGAGATTACATGTAAGCCTGAAGTGGGCTACATGAAGAAGCAGCCGGCCATCAACAACAGCATGAGGGCTATCCTTGTGGACTGGTTAGTGAAAGTAGAAGAGTATAGACTACAGAATGAGACCCTGCACTTGGCTGTGAACTACATCGACAGGTTCCTTTCCTCCATGTCTGTGCTGAGAGGAAAACTTCAGCTGGTGGGCACTGCTGCTATGCTGTTAGCCTCAAAGTTTGAAGAAATATACCCCCCAAAGGTTGCAGAGTTTGTGTACATTACAGATTATACCTACACCAAGAAACAAGTTCTGCGAATGGAGCACCTCGTTCTGAGAGTCCTTTCTTTTGACTTAGCGGCACCAACTGTCAATCAGTTCCTCACCCAGTACTTTCTGCACCAGCAGCCTTCCAACTGCAAAGTTGAAAGTTTAGCGATGTTTCTGGGAGAGTTAAGTTTGATAGATGCTGACCCCTACCTTAAGTATTTGCCATCAGTTATTGCCGGAGCGGCCTTTCATCTAGCACTCTACACAGTCACAGGACAAAGCTGGCCTGAATCCTTGGCACAGAAGACGGGCTACACCCTGGAGAGTCTGAAGCCCTGTCTCCTGGACCTGCACCAGACCTACCTCAGAGCGCCGCAGCACGCGCAGCAGTCCATCAGAGAAAAGTACAAACATTCCAAGTATCATGGTGTTTCTCTCCTCATCCCAACAAAGACACTACCATGTTCGACAAACCCCAGAGACGTCAGCCCAGAGAACAGAGCTTTTGGCAGTCATTTATGCTTTTGAACAATTGCAACAGGTTCCCTTTAACTTGTACACTGACTCTCAATATATAGTCAAATTATTTCCTCATATTGAGACCGCCTCTCTCCCACAAGGAAGAACAGCCATTTTCTCTTTGTTAACTCAGCTACAAACTAACATTCATAAATGAGAAAAAGCTTCCTATATTGGACATATTAGAGCTCATTCCTGCCTACCAGGACCCTTAAGCGAAGAAAATTATCAGGCGGATTTACTAACTCTGCCCAGTAGTTTGTACAGCTCTAGAAGAAAGCCCGGTGGTCTCATGCCATTCACCATGAAAATTCTTATAGTATTTTAACAGGGGCAGTAGTTTGTGTGTGTGTGTGTGTGTGTGTGTGTGTGTGTGTGTGTCTATTACAAATTTTGACTTAAATTTTTAATAAACATACAGGATCAAAATACCCATAAAAAATGGTCAGCCATTTAAATTCTACCAAACCTCTCCCCAAAGGAGGATTCTATCCCATCACCTCCAATTGGGGAAATTTGAGAAAGGGGGCCAAGCCCCCAGCCCCCTGCAATAATAGGGGCCATCAACCCTTCAACCCCTCAGCAAATTTCAATCCAGTCAGTGACCTCTTCAGGGCAACCCCAGGCAGTGCAGGATTGGACCTCCATTCCACCACCCAAGCAATACTAACCCCAGACTCGCCCTTAGCAGCCATTCCTACAGGAGTGTCTGGGCTACTGCCTGAGGGAAGTGTGGACTCTGTCCACACGTTTGGGAACCCCTGGACCTGCTGGGGTTGGACCCCAACATTCTTCCTCTTCTCTGACGTGCTCCTCATGGCCAAGCCTCGGCCCGCATTGCATCTGCTGCAGGGTGGCACCTTCACCTGCCAGGCCCTCCACCAATGGCCCAGCGTCCACTCCACCAGGCCTTTGGCCACTCATGAGGCCCTTGTGGTGGGCTGCTCAGCCAGTCCTCTCCCCGTGAGAGAGCTACTTCTATCCACACACCAGGAGGAGCTGTTGCAGTGAAAAATAATATAAATGGAGCCACTTTTAAGTGGAGTCAGAACTGCCATCCCAGAGGAACTGCATGTCTTACTTATTTCTCAGCCCTTGGAATGTTAAAACTGAGCAAAATAACCCAAAGCAGCATTGTATCCCAGACAATTGTTTGCAAAGATAATAAGAAAGCAGGTATTATGACTACCGGACTGAAAATTGAAAACATTCTTTAGAATTAGCATCACTGTGTTAGCTTCTTTGCACAATAGAAATCCTTCCTTCTGTTAATGTAATTGTTCCCCCTTCCCTTTCTCATAAACATCCCTTGCCTCCCCTCCTAATTGGAACGCTATGTGGCTTTCTGCCCAAATCGGTGCTTTCCTAAGAGCTATTCTTTTGGATCTCAAAAAATGCTTGTTGCCTCTCACTTTGGCCTAACAGCTGTCACAGGAATGTGAGAGAATAGATGATAAAGGTGGAAGGATGTAATTGAGTATTAATCCTCAAAGAACTAAGTCTTAGCTGGGAAATGGCTGTCCTTTCAAATCCAAGCCACCGATGGCAACCTTGAGCTCAGTACTGGGTGGAGGGCACAGTCAGCCCCAGGGCATGTAGTGGGGGTTGCTAAGCTTCTGGAACGAATAGGAGTTCATATAAGTCTATATGACTTTGAAGGATACTCCCTGTTAATAGTAATGCAAGGGAATTATTTTTCCAAAGAATACTTTTGAGGGACAGGGGTTGGTTGAGCAGGGGACATGGTTTACCGAAGTAAGTGTAGTCAACTTTGGGGGTTCCTGTTAGTTAAATGACCACTAGATGGTGCTATATCTGACTAATGCATCAAGTATGGCTAAATACGCTGCCCTCCCCCATATTGTTTCTCAGTCCTTTTTGAAATAATTTTGATTGAACTATACTTCAAATGAAAGATATCTAAAAAAACTTTTCCCATTCAGAACAAAATTACTTCTGACACCTTGTTAATCACTATTTCTGATTCAAAATATATCCATTTCCATTCCAAGTAACTTGACAACCAAGCAAGGCTAAGGCTCAGAAGGCACAAGAATATATTGAGTTCATAGCAAGAGATTTGTTCCTTTTTAAAATGTTAATTGCCGAACCGGTTTGGCTCAGTGGATAGAGCGTCGGCCTGCGGACTGAAGGGTCCCAGGTTCGATTCCGGTCAAGGGCATGTACCTTGGTTTCGGGCACACCCCCACTGGGGGGTGTGCAGGAGGCAGCTGATCGATGTTTCTCTCTCATCGATGTTTCTAACTCTCTATCCCTCTCCCTTCTTCTCTGTAAAAAATCAATAAAATATATTTTTTAAAAAATGTTAATTGAAGCCATACCCAGGCGATTTAATAACACTACTCTTGGCAAGCACAAGCAAAACTGATATAAAAACCTTTTGACTAAATTTCTTCAACACTCTGCTGACTGATCTTGTCGGAGATGAGTTTTGTACTTACCCTTGGCAGTCTGAGATATTAAAAAGGCAGAAGTGAGAATATTAAAATGCTTTGGAGAACCCTGAAATGTGATAATGTGCTACAAAAGATAGCTCTATGACTCGTGTGTGTGGTTGCATGGTATTTAGAGGGGGAACTTGGCCATTATACACATTAATGAGGTAGCCCGTGTCAAAATGAGAAGTTCTGAGGGCTCATTTAAATACTATCTACTAAATGAGAAAATATGAAATTCACAGCCTACTTAAATTTTTAATCACGAGGGATAAAATGTCTTTATGTTTTATAAATCTTTAAGTCAGTGTACCAGTATATATGAGCCAAGGGAAAGAATCCCTCTGCAATTGTTATAAGTAATTTTGTTTGTTTGTCTTTAAGGAAGAGAGACTATTGTTGACCCTCATCAGTAGTCTTACTTGGATAGCAAAATAGTAAAGGACCCTCAGGGAGGATGGGGTGGTCAGCAATGGGTGGAGAGTGGGTCGGTTGAATTACTGCAATACACACAGTTCCACATCCCATTTAAAACACAGTCAGAAGAAAAAGACAAATAAAATAGTCTCAGAAGTGATAGAGTTAGACAGAGAACAGGCAAAGCAGAAGTTAAATGGACAAAAAAACCTGCCCTCCTGTGTTTACCCTATGGCTCTATTTACCAATTAAAACATTAATAACATTGCCTTAGCTGGTTTGGCTCAGTGGATAGAGCATCAGCCTGCGGACTGAAGGGTCCAGGTTTGATTCCGTTCAAGGGCACATGCCCAGGTTTGGGCTCGATCCCCAGTACAGGAGGCAGCAGATCAATGATTCTTTCTATCTCTCCCTCTCCCTTCCTCTCTGAAATCAATTAAAATATATTTTTTAAAAATGAATAACATAATAATGCATATTTTTACATATTTTCCATCAAAATAATGGAGAGGAAGGGTGAGCACAAGTGAAACAGCCAGGGGTTGTGAAGGCAAACACAAAATTCCATTTCAGGGTTTGCCTAGGGCTGGGCCTGACTCTAAAGTGCATCTCTGTAAAACTCATTGTAAACAAATAATTCTTTTCCTTAGTTTAATACAAACATCTTGGTAAAAACCCTCATCCAACAAGCTAACTATGACAACTGATTTAAAGACAATGAGAAGCAGAATGGGGGGTGGTGAAGGAAACCCCTCAATACTTCCAGCCAGGAGTTGGTACACAGGTCCGATCGCTGGGTTAGAGCTGTGAGTTCAGTCCCATTGACATGCCACAGATTTTCCCCAATGATATGTATCTCATGTGTTCTAGAGAAACACTTCTTAAATTGTCATGTGTTCCTCCTTTGGCTCCTTCCTACCCCTACCCACAACTTAGCATGTGTTCTGTGAAGGAAAAAAAAGGTCCTCAGTAAAACACACTTGGAAAACACTACATACTATATGCTTTCCTTGGAGATTTCTGGGTGCACCTGGGCATCTTAAAGGGTATCAAAATATCTGGGACTTTTTAGGAAGGGAAAATCTGTGTGACTGAAGTAATCATTTCCCACATTTAAATTCCCCTCCCTGTCCCCTCCTTCACCCCCAGGAATACCAGCATTTCACAGGCCACTGGTATTCTCGAGTAGAGTGTTCAGAAAATGCTTTTTCAGGGATAAAAGTATTACATCTTCTTGCCACATTAGAAGGATGGTGAAGGTTGAAAATACTTACCACAAGGACCTACTTAATATCCTGAGAGTTCATATTTTTGCTTAAATTTGGCTTCTTGGTACAGTTGTTCAGCTTTTGCCCTATCATTCTTCTGATTGAGACATCATCCGTGTTGGGAAATAACTGTTTTGTGACTCCTGTAAAAAACAACAGCAGCACACAAAAACACTTTAGAAGGCCTTTGCATCTTAGGATATGAACTGAGATAAAACATGAAGCACATTACAATTTTGTCTTCATTTTGCAAAAGTAGCCCAAACACCCATGAGATCTTTAAGTAGATGAATAGATAAGTAGGCTTTACAAAGAAAGCAAGAGCTAACGAAGTTCTACATATTTGTCTTCCTATGGTACCACTCAACTTTAACCTTACTGCTTGCTCTGAAATCTCTCCTTGCTCCAAAATGCTAGGAATTTAATTGTATCTATCTCAACATCAGTTAGAATAGTTGAGTCTGAACCTTTTCCAAGTAAGAAATTACATACTATTAAAATATAGAAAGCTGGGATTCAGTGATTCCCTAAATTTGTTAGATATTTTCAAAAAATTATTTGACAATCTAGATTATTATATTTAAGGAGAATCAGTAAGTTGAAAACCATAAGTAAAGTCAAATTAGCCTCTTTCTTCCTAGAATAAAGATAAAAGGTAGAACTAAGACAAAGAGAAAATAAGATATAAACTGTTAATGAAATTTTAGTTGAAGGATTTACTTTTCTAAATCTATGAATTTTCTGAATCCAAACTTTTCAGTAATATTCAATTTTAGTTTTAGTTTAATATCTACTTTTAAAGTAAAGTTTTTCTATAAAATTTCCCATATTTACTAGGGTTTAGAATTTGTCCTCAGATTTTTCTTTCACAGAAAAATAAATTTGAAGAAAAATATCATAAAAGAATAACTTAACCTAGAAGCATAAAATAATTTCAAAATCATGTGACAGTATAATACAATCAATTTATCACCTATGATTTCTTGAACTTCGTTCTGATTCATAGCTGGCTTTACTGCTTTCTCCCTTGAAGTAGAGGATTTTGCACCGGTCAGGCTGTGTGTGGCCATGTATTCATTTGTGTAAAGTACTTGCATTAAATCATTAATAAACTTCTGAGGTTTGCTCTTGTTACAACGAGCAATCTGCCATTTTTCAATCTTGAACTGAAAAAAAAAAAAAAGAATGAACACAGTCATTGGAAGAGGAAAAAGGAAGTAAAATCTGGAAGAATATATTACTAATTAAGGCATACCAGAAAACAGAATCAATGTTCTTTAAGGAGATGCATTGTACTTTTAGTATATTCTTTACATTTCAGGGATTAGAGTTAAATGCTGTCTTTGAGAAAATTCCCAATATTTGTGAGTATATACATAGACAGAGTATATACATATTCTTGTTATGGAATCTGGATTTGGTGCTTTAAGAATTAGTCCTCTCCTCCATACTTAACTAAGTGTGGGAGGCAGAATAATGGCCCTGGAAACTGTGAATGGGAAAACAACTTTGTAGGTGTGATTAACGTTAAGTATCTTGAGATGGGAAGACTAGCCTGGGTTATCCAGGTGGGCCCTGACCTAATTACAGGAGCCCTTCTATGAGGAAGAGGGAGGCAGAAGAAAGGGTCAGAATACAGGACACCATGGAGGAGAGATCCGAAGAGTGAGGGGGACTTTGCTTGCCATGGCAGGCTTTGAGGATGGTGGAAGTGGCTGCAAAACAAGGAAGGTGGCTGCCTCTAGAAGCAGGAATAGCCTTCCATTTACAGTCAGCAAGAAAATTGGAACTCAGTTCTACAACTACAGCAGCTGAATTCTACAACCCAAAGGAGCAGCCAACAGATTCTTCCATAGAGCCTCCGGAAAGGAGTCCCCTGCCAATAGCTTGATATTACCACGCTTCTGACCTACAGAACTCCCAGACACTTAATCTGTATTCTTACAAATTACTAATTCTGTGGTAGCCTGTTAGACTGCAGAAGGAAATGAATACACTAAGATTCAAATATTCTGAATGATAGACTTTTAGTATTTAATATTTCTCTTAAAGGCCTATTTTCTAACATAATACCAGATTCAAACAAAACTCCTGTCTTTTTAGCTTCTATATTTTTATTAAGAGAAATTGAGGAAGTAGCAAAAAAACTGTGTTCAGACAGCATGCAGAGGATGAAATTTACCTCTTTCCAATGATATGATTTCATAGTCCTTAATGCACAGTTATCCTTCTGTTATTGGATTTAGAATTGTCTAGTTTTAAAACATCATCACTGCCTACAATTTGACTTTAGTTTTAGAAACAACCTGGATATTTGTTTCACAAATATTAGATTTACTGTTTTATGTAATAGGAATGTTATGATTGTGATCTAAAGTTACCTAAAAGTATCTGATAAAACAATGGTCACTTTGTGCTCTTTTTTAAAAAAATGATTTTTTATTGTTGAAAGTATTACAGATGTCCCCCTTTTTCCCCATTGATCCCCTCACCCCTCTCTCCCCCCAAGGCCTTCAGTGCACTATTGTGTGTCTATGGATTATGCACATATGCATATAAGTTCTTTGGTTAATCTCTTCCTGCCCCCTAACCCCCTTCCTTCTGAGATTCATCAGTCTGATCCATGCTTCTATGTCTCTGGATCTATTTTGTTGATCAGTTTATTTTGTTCATTAGATTCCACATATGAGTGAGACCATGTGATACTTGTCTTCCCCTGAATGGCTTATTTTACTTAGCATAATACTCTCCAGATCCCTTCATGCTGTCTCAAAGGGTAAGAGATCTTTCTTTTAGACAGCTGCATAGTATTCCATTGTGTAAATGTACCTCAGCTTTTTTATTCACTCATCTACTGGTGGGCACTTGGGCTGTTTCCAGATCTTAGCTATTGTAAATAGCACTGCTGTGAACATAGGGGTGCATCTATTCTTTCTGACTGGTGTTTTGGGATTCTTAGGATATATTGCTAGCGGTGTTCTTATTTTAATTTTTGTATTTAACTATATCCCAGAGAAAGATAGGATGGGTATTCCAACTGACCTGCTTCTCATCAGTGTGATGCTCTTCTTCAGCTTTCAAGGAAATTGGTGAACTGGAATTAGAATTAGAATTAGAATTACTGCACAGGGAGGCAAATGAATCTGGTGAGGAGTTGTTTGTTGCTCTCCAGAGGGTGGATGCAGATGTAAACATGGTTCCTCGACCCTTAAGCACGGCCTCTGCCATACCAACCAATTCTTCAAACTGGGTAACTGCTTGTGGTAACACTAAAATGGCAAGAAAAAGTAACACTTTACAAATATTTTTTTTTTTTTTAGTAACAGGACATATATACATTTCTTATTGTGTGTATATGCATAGACATATGTAGAACAAATCATTAACTTTTGCTACCTTTGGAAAACAAACATGGTAAGAAAAGTGGTTGGGACATATTTACTTTTTATTAAATAATTTAGTAATTGCTCAGTAATAAAAAATCAATTTATAAATATTTGGTGACAGTATTTAAATGTTTATGCATTACATTGTAATAAAAATGAATGTTTTTACACATTGATTATTTTTTCTAATTGCTGATAGCATTATTTGAAAGTATTTAATGTGTTTGGAGACATTACTGATTCTATTACCAATCACCTTCCAGATACTCACATTAAGCCAGCTTAAATGACAAGATAAACTAAACCATTTCTCACAGATTAAAATAAATTTTCCAAGACCTCTGCGTGTGGTTTGCCATGGAGTCAAATTCCATCAAACTAATAAAAATTCATTGCCATAATTCAAATCTATGTTTTCATATATCAAAGATGAATTCTGGTAATTAACTGAATGTCCTTTCTTTTTTTCAGTAGAAACTTACACATTCAAACGTTTCATGTCTCCATGTTAAATGGTCTTCTCTGTTGTTATATTTAGTTTGTTTCCTAAGGACAAATAACATTTTGTTGGAGTTGGAAGCCACCTTGAACCCTATCTAATTCAACTCCTCACTTTATGGTTAAGGACAAAAGACAGAAATATTTTTTGTATGTTTCTTAAACATATCATTGAGCTATAATCTTTAGAATAATATAAGATTTGAGAGCTGAAAATCAGGTATATTGATGACATGTCCAAATTAATACATCTGGTACTATATTAATAGGAAATCTACTAAAGAAGAAAATCTTATATATTTCAATTAATATTTACTAAGCACCTCTCCTTTGCCAGACACTTATTCAGAAATTACTTATTGAGCATTTAATAATATTAAACATTAATCTAGCTTTTACTCTGTGACAGGCCTTATTCTGGGAAATTTACTCATGTTCATTCATTTAATCTTCATTGCAACTCTATGAGATAGGTGTCATCATTATCCCTAATTTATAGATGAGGACAAGTAGGCAGTGAGAGGTTAAATAACCCATCCAGGGTCAACCCAAGTAGTGAGAAGAAGAACCAAGATTCAAATTCAGACTCTGCCAATTTCATGCTATAAACTAGAGTTGGTCATTGAACAACATGAGTTTGAACTGCACAGCTCCATTTATATGTGAATTTCCCCCCCAGTAAATATATTGGAAGTACTGGCTAGGCAGCTCAGTTGGTTAGAGCGTCGTCCAGATATGCCAAAGTTTCAGGTTCAACCTCTGGTCAGGAAACACAAGAATAAGTATTTCTCTGTCTGTCTGTCTGTCTGTCTCTCTCTCTCATATCATGCAAAAAATTATATATACATGAAAATTGTTAGAGATTTGTGACAATTTGAAAAAAACTCACAGATGAACTGAATAGCCTAAAAAATGAAGAGAAAATTAGGTATTCATCAATGCATATAACACACAAAATATGTGTTAATCAACTGTTTATGTTATCAGTAAGGCTTCTAGTCAACAGTAGGCTATTAGAAGTTAAGTTTTTGCAACAACATGGATGGACCTTGAGAATATTAAGCTAAGTAAAATAAGTTAGTCAGAAAAAGCTAAGAACTATTGATTTCACTCATATGTCGGATATAAAATTGAAACTGGTGAACACAAATAGCAGTGTGGTGGTTGCCAGAGGGAACAGGGTGGGAAGTGAAGGGGTCCTAATATATGGTGGCAGGAGAAGATTTAACAGCCTTTGAATGTGGGATATATATATATATATATATATGATAAATCGTGTTGTTTACCCATATCTTCAGAAAAAAATCACTTCTACTGTCGTGATAAACAACCTGATTCCCTATTTATAATGGTCTGGCCCTCTAGCAACTTCACCACGAAATTATAGCTAATTTGCCTACAAACGTCAGGTGGTCATAATAATCTGGCCACTCAGTACAGAACATTTCCATCTTCTCAGAAAGTTGCTTCATGACCCTCTAAGTCAATCCCTGCACTTACCTCAGAGGCAACCACACATGTGACATCTTTAGCCACAGGTAAGTTTTACCTGTTCTAGAATTTCATATAATTCTCTTCTTTTAGTTTTTTTTCTCTCTGCATAATGGTTTGAAATTCATTCATGATGTTCAGTTATTTATTGTTTTGTTGTTACTGACTAATATTCAATTACATGGATACTCCACAATTAATGTATCCATTCCTTTGTTGATGGGTTATTTTCCACTTGAAAACACAACTTTTATTTTAAAAGATTTTTTAAATGAGATTTTTAGAGAGATTGGAAGGGAGAGGGAGAGAGAAACATTGATGCAAGAGCAAAGTGTCTATTAGCTGCTTCCTGTACACCCTATACAGGGGATTGAACCGGCAACTCAGGTTGGGAATTGAACCGGCAATCCTCCAGTGCACCAGAGGACGTCCAACCAACCGAGCCACACTGGCCAGAGCAAAAATGTAACTTTAATGGTCTCCTAAGATTCTAACATATTGATGTTCTATAATTTATTTAAATGCTCCTTTTTTTTTGGAATTTAGGTTGCTTTCAATTTTTCTTTATTACAAAGAAAACTCTGACAAACCACTCAGCACATACATCTTCACATGCATCTATGATCATGCTAATGCTATACATTCCTGAAAGCATAATAATAGGATCAAAGGTATAAATGATTTTAAGACTCAATTAATATTGCTGAATTGCTCTCCAGAAAGATTCTTGCAACTTAAGCTCCCACTGGCTATGCAAGAAGTTGCCATTTTACTGCACCATCAATAACAGCATTAATCACTAACAATATTCTTCACTATTTTGATAGGCTAAAATCTTAGTACAACAATTACTTGATTATTGTGAAGTTAAATATATATTTGCTTATGATTATTTGAACTTCTATGAATTATCTATTAGATCATAGAATATTAGTACTTCTTTATTTTATAAGCGCTTAAATGATGGTTGTAAAGTGCTTATAAGAGTGGCTAATACATTTTAGGCACAATATATTAGCTACTATTATTAACTGCCTTTTATGTTGAACATTTTAACCTTTTATTTCTCATATGTGGTATTTTTCTTAGAGTGTTTATCTTTTAACTTAAAAATTTTTGGAAGGACACACATTTTTAGTTTTTATTTGGGTTAAAGTAGCAGTCTTTGCTTTAGTATGTTATTTATTTTTAAAGTCATTGATTACTTATATCAGTTAAATATATCCCCATATAGTTTGTACAGTTTAAACATCTATTTATAAGTAAGCTTTTCCCCCAAAATATATCTTTAAGACTTTTAATGGAAAAATTTAAATACAAAAATAGTAAACACCCATATACTCATCCCCCAGTCTTAACTCAGCAATCTTTTTTCATCTATACCGCCATCCAATTTTTCCCTGCCCTCTAGATTAGTACTTGAAACAAATCATACCGCCATCCAATTTTTCCCTGCCCTCTAGATTATTAGTACCTGAAACAAATCACAGGCATCATCTTATAGCATCTGTTGATCTTAGCCAAAAGGCCAAGAAGCGATCGTAAGACATTTAAAAAATATAACTATAACACCTATGTCACAGCCAGAAATACTCAACAATCGCTTTTTAATGTCATTTTAAAAAACTAAGTAAATGTCCAAATTTCTCTGATTGTCTCTCTTTTTTTTAAAGTTAGTTTGAAGCAGGAGTCAAAAAAGGCCCATACATTACAATTGGCTGTTGTCTCTTCTAAACTGTAAGTTTTCTCTCCCTCGTATTTCCCTGCAATTTATTAGTTGAAGAAAGTGCGTCATTTGTCCAGCCAAGTTTCCCAAAGTCTGGATTATGCCCCTTAAGTGGTGTTTAACATAGTCTTCCGTTCCCTGTATTAGGTTTAAATTGTAGTTAGGGCTACAGGGCTTGGTCAGACGTAGGTAGTGTTTTACTTCCATCAGGTGGCATTTAATGCATGGTTCCCTTTTTCTGTGTAATATTTGCAGTCACTGATGATCACTGCTTAGATTCGCTATGCCATAGGAGTTGCAATGCCAATATTCTAAGTTTTTTCTTCTTCACTTATTAGCTGGAATTCTGCAAAGGGAAACTTCCTTTTTTCAAATATTTGTTTACCTGGCAGTTCATTTCATATAGTAATGGCAGAACAAATGTTGTTGTTTTTTTTGTCTGTACTTGCTAATTTTCAAAATAATGTTGGTTCTTTCTGATGACCATTCAGGTTTTTCTTCTTTGCATACCATTATAAATCATGCATGATATGTTTCTATCTATTGTGGTTATTATTCTTACTGGTGCTCAAACTGTCCCACTTGCAGCCAGTGGGAACCTCTTCTAGTTGACATGTCCACATAGTCTTTGCTAACTTCTTTGCTTCCTGGGATGATAAGATGTTCATGTACTAGTAGAGTATGTCCTCTTCAACCCTGCTGACAAGGCTCATCTTGTTCATCTCCTGTACAAGATGGAGAATTAGCCATTTCTCCAAAGAAACTAGCTCCTTTTAGTGGAAAATTGTATTACAAGACCATGTCCAGGTGCCAGGAGTGCTTTTGTCTATTGGATTCTTATTTGTAGGCCTATTTAGTGAACAATATTAGAACGTATTTATTATTAATTTTTAAAGACAAATTTCATCATATTATTTAAATAGGTACTTCCCATTTAAATTCAGAAATTGGAGATTTCATTTAAACTGCAGTTATATTTTTAGTGTGCCACGTGGTGTGAAATGAGAACCCAATTCGAACCTGTCCTTCCCCCTACACACTGGGGTTTACTTGTTGAATAATTCATCTTTTACCTGATTGACTTGCAGGATTTCATTGCAAAATGAAAATTCAAGACTCCTTAGAGCTTCTTAAGAATTTTAATATGGTAATGACAGAGCCTTTAACCACTATGTGGAGCCTCTCTAAGAGCAGGGCCCTGTGTAAGGGCATAGGTGACACACCCATGACTTGTGACAGGGAACACTATAATAGCAAGTCTTACATAGCATTTGCTATTGCCAGGCTCTGTTCTGAATGCTTACATGTCACCTAGGCAATCACTTTTATTACCTTTAATTTTGAGAAGAGGAAACTGAGGTCTAGAGTGGCTGAACAACTCACACAAGTTTATATAGCTAGGAGGTGGCACAGCCAGGGTTTAAATCCAGGTGTTTTGGCCCCTTTAAATCCATACTTTTTACCTCTGTGCTATAGTGCCTTTAGGATAGTTTCTTTATCATATATAAGAGGTTCTATTTGTGAGATATGCATTCTGTTCCATTAATCTGCTGACAATTGCACTGGAAAGTTGCTTTTAATTATTGGAACTTTATATTATTTAATATTGACAAGTACTGCTTCTCTCTTGTATCTCTAAACCTCCTACCAGAGGTGTAAAATCTCCTTTCAGTATGTTTTGATACATTATGTCACCTATCAATTTCAATTTTTTCTTGGAGATATCTCTCCAGGAACCTTCCATACCTCTCCACAATCTGGACTAGCTCCTCCTAGGCTACTTGTCATCCCTGAACTTCCCTTCACTATCATTCTGTAGCTCCTCCTGGTCATTCTCCTGAATTGGACCACCTGTTTTCTGATTACCATGTCTTTTTCTATTCACTCCCATTTTTTTCTTTTTAAATATATTTTTTATTGTTGATCATATTACAGATATCTCCCATTCCACCCCCTCCCACCCTCCTCTTCTCAGCCCCTCCCCACCCCCTCAGGTCTTCCTTACCCTATTGCCCATGTACATGGGCTATGCATGTAAGTATATGTGTTCTTTGGTTTATCTCTTCTCTTCTTCCCCACCCCCCTTCCACCAACCCCACATTGAGGTATGTCAATCTGTTCCATGCCTCCATGCTTTGGGTCTTATTTTTTTGGTCAATTCATTTTGCTCATTAGATTCCACAAATAAGTGAGATCATGTGATATTTGTTTTCTCAGATTGGCTTATTTCACTTTCCACACCCATTTTGGAGGACCACATCCTCCATTAGCTTTTCTAAAAGAAAGCATGGGAAGTACATTATTGACAGGTTATATGTTTGAAAATATTATTTCACTTTCACACTTGGTTGGTTGTCACTGGGTATAAAAGTATAGATTTAAATAATTTCTCTTCAGAATTTTGAAGGCATTGCTTAATTATCTTAGAGTTTCCAGCGTTGCTTGTGAGTACAATGCCATTCTGGTTCCCAATTCTTAGTATGTGACATGCTTGTTCTTTCTGAAAACTTTATAATCTTTTCTTTCTTTCTGGTGTTCTGACATTTCACAATGTTATGCCTTGGACAAGCCTTTTTTCTTTTTTAAAATATATTTTATTGATTTTTGACAGAGAGGAAGGGAGAGGGATAGAGAGTTAGAAACATCGATGAGAGAGAAACATCGATCAGCTGCCTCCTGCACACCTCCTACTGGGGATGTGCCTGCAACCAAGGTACATGCCATTGACCAGGATCAAACCTGGAACCTTTCAGTCCGCAGGCTGACGCTCAATCCACTGAGCCAAACCGGTTATGGCAAGCCTTTTTTTCTTTTTGTGGTATCTTTTGATTGAGAAATGTATGTCCTTCAGTTCTAGAACTTTATCATATTGATTTTAAACATAACTTATACCTCTTCTTTTTTCTCTCTTTTAGGACCTCTTGTCTTTGGAAGTTCTACCTCCTGAACAAATTCTTGATTTTCCCAAATCTTTTCTATTTTACTTTTAATGAGAGAAATAAAAATATGTCTGATGCTAATCAGAATGATTCATTAGAGAAGAAAACTTGATCATATAGGAGAGAGTGGGAGAATCTCTGTAGCTATATCCTTGATTAGGTGAAAGAGGATGGGATTTGATGCGCAGATAGAGATAATGCCTTTGGCTGAACAACAGAATAGGTCATTCATGAGTGACAGGAGAAAAAGTGGAGCATACAAGTCCAGGTGTAGAGAGATGACAGTCTTCATATCCTGCAATTTCTCAATGAAGTAGGAATGAAGTCATCAAGTGAGACTGAGAATAAGGGAGGAGATGTGGGGAGTTGGCAGGCGAGGTGAAAATGAAATGGCAATCTGGGAGTGTGTGAGAGAGAAGAAACTGGTCATAGCAAGTGATTCTTTTCACAAACTGTTGAAAGTGATTTGCTACTCTTTAATTTGAATTTTCTCACCTATATTTATAATAGCAATCAGTCTATAATTTTTTGATGGTGCTTTTAGGTCAAGTCCTTGTGTCAATAAAAGCAGAGACAGTAACAATAACTACCATTATTGAGCACCTATCATGTACCACTAGTGATTTCTTCCCATTATATCATTTAATCCTCATGAAAACAGGAAAATGATATACTACCCCCACTGAGAAAATTGAAACTGGTGCTGAAGGTACATAAAGTGACATGGTCAAAGTTTTATAGCTAGTAAGCAGAGTTGAGATTTAAAACCAGGTCTGTAACTCCAAAATCGATACTTTTAACCAGCAATTTATGCTAACTTTCCAGGTGTTTGTCAGTTTTGGTTTAAGGCTTTTTAATTTTATAAAGCTTTTCATCTTACTCTAAGTTCTGGAACAGATTATATAAACATGAGAGTTATCTGTTTTTGTTTGTTTGTTTGTTTGTTTGTTTTAAATCACAAAACCTCACCAGAGAAAGCCATCTGTTATAAAAATACAACATTTCAAATTGAAAAAAAAAAAGAGATAATGGCTTGGTATAAACATTACATTTCCATTCAGATGTGGCTGTTTCTACTTAAAACTATAAAGCCTTCAGTTTAATAAATACTCTGAGGAAAGCACATGAGCCATTACTCTGTCAACCTCGCTCACCACCATGTTCCATCTGTCTCACTATTTCTGACTCGAAAAAATATTGTAGAACTGTTGCCCTAGGCTAGGCTGCCATCACGTTAGTCTGGATGACTGCAATAGCTTTCCAGTTCGTCCTCATTTTCTTTCTTCTGTCACTTGTACTCATTCTGCACACGGCAGCCAGAGGGCTTCCTTTCAAAATGTTCTCTGTGTTTACTGTTTATTTCAAAATGTTCTCTGTGTGTTACAGTTTACAACAGAATGCTGCCCAGCATAGGCTATAACTGCCATATACTCAGCTGTATAAAGTAGTGCATGGTGCTTAACTACAAATGGAAGACACACAATTTTTGAAAAATAAACACGTAAACACAACAGAAGATACTACGAAAAGGCATTAATGCCAAGTGGTTTTTAACGAGCTTATGCTGATCTTTCTCCTTTATAAGTCTTCCATGAATGTGGTGATTTTCTCAAACCACTCCTCCCAACTCCAAGACTAACGTTTAATACATGGACTCTTTAATTCCAGTTGTTCTATAGTGGATTAGAACAGGCCCCATTTGCTAGTGTTTTCCTTAGCAAAGGGGACTGAGATAAGTACATCATGAACACCTTAACGTATTTGTTTTACTAATCTTTTCTCTCCAGGGCCTACCAGTGAGTGGCATATCTATTAAGTGCTCAATAAATGTCCGTTGAACATTTGTTAAATGAACACAATATTAAGTATTTTGTAGGAATAATTTAAAACTTTCTAAACAATAAACTAGCAGCTTCAACAGGGTGCTCCCATATTAAATTATGCAATCATACATTTTCTTAAAATGTGACTTTTGTTACTTTTCTCTAAGGTCTTGATGTTCTTTTTCATTCTTGACAGTGGATATGCAACACTTTCCACTCATAATGTATCTTCCCTTTCATCTAAAGATGTCAGTTTTCTCAGTTTACCTTGAAGCATCACCAAAGACTGTCGAAGGCGGCTGTTTTCTTTCCGGGTGTTTGTCAGTTTTTGTTTCAGGCTTTTTATTTTCATGCACAATTCCTCCTTCGATAATTCTTCTAAAGGCTCGTCATCCTCACTGGAGCTCTCACCGGGCAGAAAGGCATTTCCCGAGTATGGGTCTCTCTAAAACACAAGGCAGGCACAAGAAAAGAAGCTTCTAAGCGACCTTAATGGCTTATCCCACGTTCTGTATGCTGAAGGGACCTACGAGTGCCTGTTCTCCCAGGCACTTCCTGTCCAAGAGAGGAGCTGGCTCTAACTAATGACCTCGCCTCAGCTTTGTCTTCCACGGTCCCCGGGGAACTCAGAAGAAGGGAAGAAGACCAACGTCCCATGCACGTGTCTCTTGAAAATCAGGAATCAGGGTTCTGACTGTCTACCTCCCTTCAGTGAGAAACACAAAGTAGAAAAATAGTGTAACAGAGCAGAATCCACAAGACTACCTTTCACATCTTTGTAACTCATCCCCATCCTCCATTTCTCCCCTCCTTCTCATTCACGGCCTTGCTGTTGCCATGAGGACAATTTTGGGGTTTGCTGTATCACAGAAAGGAGAGATAAGATTCACCTAGGAAAAAAGCGTTCGTGTTTACCTTTTAGTTTTAAAATAGTCCTTAAGGTCAGTAGCAAGATAACAGTCTGAACATACCTGCACTTGAGTTGTAAAACCCAGGCTGCATTGAGACAGAAAAGAATTTTCTCAAATTATCAAGCTGTCATCTATATATATCCAAACTTGGAAAAGTGGAGCATAGAGTGGAATTGATAAAGTTCCAAATCTAGAAGCTTCAAGTGTAAAGTTTTTTTAAAAATATGCTTTATATAGGGTGTCCCAAAATTCACACAAGAAGTAATTTTGATAGAAAACACAAGTTTATAATTAAAAATTGTAAATTTTTTACTGATTCGTAAAGTATACAGTATAGGGTTATGTATGGAATAGCACATCAGGTAAATGGCCTCCAGAGCTTTGCTGGCATATACGCAAAGCTGTGGTCTTCATTGGTCTTCATTGTCCCTGCTCCTGGGCCATAATTGGTACTTGGTAATGCTTATAAAATTGAAGGGATTGAAATCAAAGGGCAACAGATATTAGAATCTGATTCAATAAACCAAGTAAAATTAGGCTTTTATTTGTTGTTGTTGTTGTTAATGATCACGCAAAATTCAAATCTTGCGTGAATTTTGGAACACCCTATAGTAGAAGAGATAAAGGCATGACATAAAGTCCCTGCTGCCCAGGAGGAGAAAAGAGCCTGGTGCCACGAGGAGGAGGAGCCTTGGGAATCAAGAACCAAAGTGGCAGAGAATCAGGTTCAGTTATCTTTGATCTTCCTGCCCCTGCCTCTTGGAGAGAAGGAAGCCGGATTACAGGGGTAAGGATATATGATAGAAGCATCCAGATACATAAGCGGCAATTCCAGAGCAGCAGGGCTGGCTCCTTGCTAACAGTCCATTACAAGCTCCCTAAAGAGGTTCCAAGTCCAGCACAACATCAGGGCAACAAGGCGCCTCTCTGGGCCATAAATTAGACATGACCCAAACTGGTGTCTGGACAAATAGACTGGAGACAGCACCCAGACTTCCCAGGGCTCATGCAGAACAGCTAGAGAACCCAAGTGGTCCCTGTGTCCTGGTCAGGAATAGGTACGTGCTAGGGGAACTGGTGGAAGAGAAATAGTTTAGTACATAGAGAGGCCACAGGGTACCTGAACCTTATAGAAGGTGGTAATGGGTGCCAGGGTGGCAAACCTCAGTGGCAGGTGCCAACAGAAGTCCCAATGGACCAGGAGGGGCTGGCTGTACCTAATACTAACACTGCTGGATGCCTGGGAACCAGGCAGGAAAATCAGAACCTTGGAGGAAGATCAGCTATCCCCCTCCAGATGCTGGGATGATATGGAAAACTTCTGAAGACTTGCATCACTTCCCCGGGGGGCGGGGAAAAAGAAAGAGGGGAAGGGTAAGAATCTAGGATCCATAGAGGCTGAAATCTTGAAGTGACTGAAATTAAATTAATGGCTCAAAGGAACTTTTAAAAACGAGAACATTCTGTCATTTGCTGTGAATGGACAAATTTAAGCTTTTCATTTTCTTATCAAGCAAGGATGGAGAATTAAATGTCAGATGAAATCAAATATAGAAAATAACTGATTTTTTTATTTATTTTTATTTTATTTTATTTTTAAATTTTGTTTTATTGCTTAAAGTATTACAAAGAGTATTACATATGTCTCCTTTTTTCTCCCCTTGACCTTAAAATAACTGATTTTTGTATGACTTCTAATGTATACATTTTATAAGTATACAAATATATGTATCTGTGTATATACTCATTATTACATATATTTGTGTAGGTGACATATATTACACATATATGTAATATACATATATTGTAATGAAAATTACTATTATCATATATGGGCAAGTAACTAATGTACTGACTCAAATATATAAATGCTACTGGATTTGATTAAATAGAAATGAAGGATTTTTTTTAACTTAAGGGTGTCTTTTGAGACCATAGTTCTGTGGAGATACAGTAAGTCCTCACTTAACATTGTCAATGAGTTCTGCAACTTTAAGTGAAATGACATCTTATGAAACCAATTTTACCAAAGGTTAATTGATAGATACAAGAGTTAAGTTCCTATGGCATCTCATCACTGTTATAATGAAACAATGCTGAACAAAATGACATTATTTGAGGACCTGCTGTAATTAAAAAATATTAAAATGTATTGTTTGAACCACTTTGGGCAAGTTCCTACAAGAAAGAAATAAAATCAAACAAATGCTAATAATCCATTAGTAAGCATCAATGGAAGACAAAGTTAGACAAATATCAGATCAGGAGAATATATTTGTGATATCTAAAACCACAAGAGACCAATTTCTATAATAGATAAGATATTTATGCAAATCAATTAAGATAAGAATTGAAAACCACTAGAAGAGACTAAAAAATCCAACAACAACAAAAAATAAAAACCCAATAGAAAAATGCACAGGGGCAGAGACTGCTAGCTACCTCCAGGTATTGCTCTCCCATTCTTCTACAATAATAGATTTTTAGCTGGGCAAGTATCTGTCAGCTAACAATTACATTTCCCAGACTCCCATGCAGCTCAGTACAGCTATATGACTAAGTATTGCAATAAAATATGAGTAGAAGTAATGTGTACCATTGCTGCATCATGACCTTAAAAGGAATGAGCATGCCTTCTCCTGTCTGTGTTCTCCTGTGTTGGTAGAGAGAAAGCCATGACAGTGGGGGCTGTGGTAGTTACCTTAGTCCCAGAGAGAGAGGCTGTGTGTTGAGGAAGGTAGAGCCACAAGATTAGAGGGATCCTCAACATTGTGGAGCTGGCATACCAACCCTGGACTGCTCTTGCTGTTATGTGAAAGGGAAAAAAACTTCTATCTTGTATAAGCCACTGTTTGAGTCTTTGTTATAGCCTTTGCAACATATATGATTACTAATCCAGATTTTAAATATATATATATTTTATTAATTTTTTTAGAGAGAGTGGATGGGAGAGGGATAGAGAGATAGAAACATCAGTGAGAGAGAAACATTAATTGGCTGCCTCCTGTATGCCCCACACAGGGGATTGAGCCCAAAATCCGTGCATGTGCCCAACAGGGAATCAAACTAGTGGCCTCATGGTCCCTGGCCTGACGCTCAACCACGGAGCCACACCAGCCGGGCACTAATCCAGATTTTGATACCTAGAAGCAGGATACCCCAAATCTGGTAGATGTCGGGCTGTGGGAAAAAGAGCACAGGTATAACATACTAGAAAGCTGTTGACTCCTGTTCGACCTTGGTGACATATTTGGTGAACCTGTGGTCTGGAAGACCATGTGCTTACTGAGTCTGGAAAAAGAATGTTGGTGTGTATCAGTGGCTTCTTGTTGGTGCTGACCAGTGTGCAGAGATGAAAGGTTTCTCTTTCATCTGCATTTAGAATACAGCCTGCAATCTAAACCGACTGAGAATCCAGTAATGTTAAATTTGCAAGGTTTGAGCCCTGGCCGAAAGGTTGCAAGTTTGATTCCTGGTCAGGGCACATACCTAGGTTGTAGGTTCAATCCCCAGTCAGGGCCTCTCGATCGATGTTTCTTTCTCACATGGATGTTTCTATCTCCCTTCTCTCTCTCTCTTCCTCTCTCCCTCTCCTTCTCTTCCTTCCTCTTTTTAAAATCAATAAACATATCCTCAGGTGAGGATAAAAAAAAATCTTCGAGATTTGAAAAAGCCAATTACTTCTACATCTAAGTAGCTGGAGGGTAAGACTGTGACCTCAAGTCCTTTTGTAGAACTTTTAAGTTCTCAGCTAGGCGCTGAGATCCATCCCAATGGGAAGGATCAGATTCAAGCTTTTTGTTTCATGTGGTCTTTACATAACTGCCATAAGTTGGAGAGAAAAGAGGATGAGCACAGATGCCATAATAAAAGAGGAGCGTTTTCAGGCTTATTTTTGACCAAATAAGCCCTCTGGCTGTAGTTACTTGTAATGGATCCCAAGTAAAATAAGAAGCTTAAAAAGCTATTAAGTTTTTGAGAAAAACAAATTTCTAAAGAAATCACAATACTAGCCTGCGAGAGCATGTCACTATCTTATCTCTCAAGGAACCAGGGATCCCCCAAACCTGCACCAGCAAATTGAGACAAGATATTTTCTCCCATCAACTGCCAAAAACATGAAAGTTGGATATCAATGCAAAGTGTTAGTAAAAAAGAACAAATATAGGAACACCTCATGTACTGCAGACCGAAGTGGACATTTTGGAAAGCAATGTTATGGTGTCTAGTCAAATGAACTAGAAATAAACATATAACTTATAAGCCATAAATCACTATCCTATGTATTTAGTTCCGAGAAATTCTCACACTGTTTCTTAAAGGATATATATATATATATATTGGGGATATTTATTTTGTCAGTGTTCGTAGAAGCAAAAGGCTACGTGTTCATCATCAGAGGAAAGGATAAGTTAATATGGTGCTATGTAGTAGTTAGACACAATGGATCTGATGCATAATAGATGTTAAAAACAGTGCTGATTGGAAAATCAGAAACAGATCAAGGTATATACCAACGTACTACTAAATGATGTACCAAATGATATATCCATAAGGTTGTACAGTGAAGCGTGATTTGTAAAAAGAAAAAGATTGGTAGCAGGCCAAACCCATCATAGGGGACTGGTTAGATAAAGAATGGTACATACACGCAGTGGAATAATATGGAGCTGTAAAAAAGAATAAGATCTTTATGTACTAGTGGAAAGATCTTCAAAATAAGTAAAACAGCAAAGTACAATGCAGCATGTCTGGTAAGTTACTTTTTGGGCAAAAGAGGGAATAAGAATATCTATATTTATATTTGCTTTATTTGAATTAAGAAACACAAAAGGGATAACAAGAAAGCAATAAACGTGGTAGGAGGTGGGAATAGCGTAGATGGGACACAGGGAAAGGAGGGAGACTTTTCCAGTGTTTACCTCTAAAATAAACAAACAAACAAATAAAAAATATATATATTTTAATGATTTCAGAGAGGAAGGGAGAGAGAGACTGAAGCATCAATGATGACAGAGAATCATTGATCAGCTGCCTCCTGCATGCTCCCTTCTGGGGCTTGTGCCTGCAACCTGGGCATGTGCCCTGACTGAGAATTGAACCTTGACCTCCTGGTTCATAGGTCGACACTCAACCATTGAGTCACACTCGCCTGGCCTATATGTATATCATATATATTCATATCCTTTTTATTTTTTATTATTCAAAAAAGCATTTTTAAATTTAGCTTTCTGATTCTGTGCTTATGCCTCCAACACTTTCACAGTGATTTTCTGCTCCTCAATCAAAAAGGCATGCTTGGTCATGTATGTCACAGATACATTTCACACACATGGAACAACCATGGGCACTGCTGACATACTTTTGCATTTTAGACAACCTCATAAGAACTTTTGGTCTTATGACCTAAGCTCCTTATAATTTGCCTGGGCACACTCCATTTGTGGATTTTGGTGCTTCCCAACTTTCACAGTATAAAGATAAATTTCCATTACCAGGGATTCAGGACAGCCTAGTTTTATTATAGGTTGTATTATAGGATATAGCCTAAAACAGTATGTCAAATGCTGGATCATTCTGAATGTCTGTAGACATCATCCCCAAAAGACCAAAAATATTTTAAACCATGAGAATGTATAGCATATATTTTAAAAAATAAGTATACACACACATAAAACACTATGTGTTATGGAGACATATACAAATACTTGTATTACAAAGACAAACAAATAAAAAGACACAGAATAAACACATTGATAGATTGAGGAGAAGGGAGTGAGGAATTTAGCTCAAAAAAGAATCAATGAATAAATAAAAATAGGAAAGGCACCCTGACCAAACCAGTTATGAAGATGGGCTAGAAAATGTAATAATAAAAAAAGAAAAACAGTAAATGTTAAAGAAGAGGTATCCCAATTTCTCCAGTGTTTTTTGAAAGAAAAATGTATTTGCTGACAGTTCGTTGATCTTTAATTTCTCAGAACACCAAGGAAAGTTTGAACAATGGCATAATTGGCCATTTTTAAATGGAAGCAGGTAAAATGTATTTTGAGTATGTTTCAAATTCAAATTGTTCAACATAAAAAGAAAACATGCAATTTTATTCCCTGGTTAAATAAAAAATTAAAGGGAGAATAAATTAATAGAACAGGGAAAGTACTAATAAATTATGAGAGGCATTAGGGAATTGTGGTGGAAATAAAATTATATGAAGGAAATGGAACACCAACCTGTCCTTTATCCATGTCACTGTTTGCATTCTCTGAGTCCATTGTCTCCGTCCTTTTCCTCTTTCCTTTTCTAAGAGCGTGGGTATTGCTAACTTCATCTGTTTGGAAGGTCGTCTGCATTGTATCAAGTAGTTACCAGAGGTTTTCTAAAATTGTAGGAGGGAATGCCCATGTAGATGATGCTATTCCAGATGTAGCCCAAAAGTTAATGTTTTTCCTTAAAAACAAAAACAAAAGGATACATATATATTTACAACTGTATGTTTCATAATGTCAATAGGCACTCAAATTAATTACTTTTACTAAAAGTTTCCCATCATTCTTTCTCCCACTGACCAATTTAGTAGACATTTTCATTTGATTCAAAAGTCTTTCAATTTCATCATCACCATCATCATGATGTAATGCTTCTATAATGTGATATGCACTGAGTTGTCACTTATAAAATAAAAGTTAATTTTTTTCCATATTTACAAGTTTTTTCTTGTCAATCAGTTATGAGGCGTCTATAAGACAAAGTAGAAATGTTATAAATATACGCAAACACTATTTCAGAGGACTGAAGTTATACATCTTTAGGAAAAAGACAATAGTAGCAGATCTCATCAGAGCCAAAATATTCCAAGGTAGATCAATATGAATTACTGAGAAGTTTTGTGGGGTTCCCCGCCCTGAAAACTCTAAAGTTTTGAGATGGAAGGTTTCCTTGGTATAAACTTAAAAATTATACCATGAAGAATGGAGCATGCCCTAGCTGGTTTGGCTCAGTGGATAGAGTGTCAGCCTGCGGACTGAAGGGTCCCAGGTTTGATTCCGGTCAAGGGCACATGCCTGGGTTGGGGGCTCAATCCCCAGTAGGGGTTGTGCAGGAGGCAGCAGATCAATGATTCTCTCTCATCATTGATGTTTATATCTCTTTCTCCCTCTCCCTTCTTCTTTGAAATCAATTTTTTAAAACGGGGTAAAAATATCTCAAAGGCAACAATACATTTTAGAAAAATTTTAAGGGATAATCATTTTTCAATGCAGTCCTTAGGTCAAATAGGGTTGAGATGATCTAATTTAACTTTCACTGCAGATGATGTATAGATGATGCTGCACATTTGATCTTAGCATCCTTATCACTTGCATATACTGGTTTGTTTTCATGAAAAGATATTTTATTATAAAATATCTTTATCAACAGAAAGGACTGAGCTTAAAGGGACCTCAAGAAATATGTGGACATTTGAGCAGAAGGTAACATATGCTCCTTACTGAATTACACTAAGTAATTATATTAGAAAATATGGTTCTTTTACCTATTTTAAGAGAAATTCATTATTCTCTACCCCAATCATAAAATAATATTTAAGGCGGTCTTGTCAGAATTGTATATTGTGATTTGCTGAAAACTTACTTGAGGTTTTCAAATACATAAATAGTACTTGACTAACACTGTTACATCTGATTCACAAATATCAGAGATCTTACCTAATATTAAGCTTTATTAATAATTTTAAAGATACAGCAACCAAGAGGCACAGGCAGAGTAAGGAGTGGTCTAGAACATTCCACTGGCTTATAGGTCCTTCCTTCCAACACCATATAGGTACTCTGTAGTCTAGAATAATAGCTGAGGCTTCTAAGTGAAGTTTGGAGGTCGCCTCGCACAGTGGGGGGTGTTTAAGTTGTGACACATTTCCATTTTATTTTGCAGAGCCTAGCTTACATGACCATTCTAGGAGTTTATCAATCCATAAAACCTAGGTATGTTTTCCAAAAGCAATCCTAAATCAGGGATATACAATGAAGAGCATTTCATAGATGAAAGCTACACTTTTAGTAAATATCATTAGTCTATTTACCCAGAGCAAGATCAGCGAACATTTTCTGTAAAGGGTCAGATGATAAATATTTTAGGCTTTGCAGGCCAAGAGGTAAAATCAAGGATATTATGTAGGTACAGAGCTAGAAAGAACAAATTTCCCAAAGTTTTTATTTATAAAACTGAATATATACTAATAATAATTGAGTACAAGTTTTTGGTAACACAGGTCTACTAATAGGAATGGAATTTTTAAAAAAGCACATCTTGTTTAATTGGCTGGTTTGATCTTCTACCCAGATACTAAATCTTTCTCCATATCAGCAACAAGGTTGTTTATGATTTCTGTGTTCACTAGAGTAACACTTTTAATTTTCTTCAAAAACCTTTCCTTTGCATTTACATCTTGGCTAACTGTTTGGTGTAAGAGGCCTAGCTTTTGGCCTATCTTGGTTTTTGACATGCCTTTCTCACTAAGCTTAATCATTTCTAGCTTTCGATTTAAGTAGAGACTTACACTTCTTCCTCTCACTTGAACACTGAGAGGCCATTGTAGGGTTATTAATTGGTCTAATTTCAATATTGTTGTGTCTCAGGGAACAGGCCCAATTAGAGGGAAAGAGATGAAGGATCTGCTGGTTGGTAGAGCAGTAAGAACACACACAACATTTATTAATTAAATCTGCAGCCTCATACAGGTGCATTCGTGGTGCCCCAAACAATTATGATAGTAGCATCAAAGATCATTGATCATAAATCATCATAACAGATATAATAATAATGAAAAATTTGGAATATTGCAAGAATTACCAAAAAAGTGACAGAGACAGAAAATGAACAAATGCTGTTGAAAAAATGCTGATAGACTTGCTTGATGCAGGGTTGCCACAAACACTCAGTTTGTAAAAAACATAATATCGGCAAAGCACAATAAATGAAACACCAAAAAAACAAGGTATGCCTATATTTAAAAAATAAGGAAATTTCCATTGCATTTGTATTGACATCTGAAAGACAATGGTGGAGCTGTAATTTGAACTTGCAAAGTAAATCCAGTGTAATCTGAGTCAGGGTAAACATCTTCATTTCTTGTTTCAACTTTTGACAGCAGGGGAAGTGTATAAAATAAGTTAACATTACTTATAAGCCACAATTTAGTTGCTATCAGAATGGCTTCACCTCCCTGTAAGTTTTGCATTAAATACTTGTTTTGTCTTGTAATTTGTTAATGAATTTATTAAGAAATATTGTCAAGTCTGTAGCAAAAGCCAAAATTTCCAAAGCCATTCAGTGTTCCATAAGAGTGGTTGAGGGTCATTCTCATTCACAAAAATTTCAGTGTTGACCTTGAGCTCAAACATTTGCAGTAAAACATTTCTACTGCTAAGCTAGTAAAATGTTATAAAGCAGGGCAAATTAGAATATTCAATCCTATCTAATAAGGAAATGCATGGAACTGACAGTGGTCAAGTCCACAAGAATGAAGTTCACTCCTGACACTATTTAGTCAATAATCTATACTTATAATAGAGTAATATGCAAATTGGTTGGGACACCATTACATAATAACTGATCAGCAGAAGGGCAGGGCAGTGAGCTACGTGTGGCGGAGAGCTACAGGAGGGTGGGGCAGCGAGCTATGAGTGGCAGAGAGCTATGAGCGATGGTGGGCGGGGCAGTCAGCTGAGGCAAGCGGCAGAGAGCTACCTGTGCACGGATTTGTGCGCAGAGCCACTAATATATGATATTTTCAGAAATTGCCAAGGTGACCTTTAAATTTTTTTTTGGAAATGTGACTCATGATGGCCAAAACAATCTTGAAATAGAATAAACTTGGAAAAATCACACCTCCCAATTTCAAATCTTACTACAAAGCTATAGTAATCAAGATAGTTTGGTACTGCCATAAGGATAGACACATTAATCATTGGAATAAAATGGAGAGTTCAGAAATAAACCCTTATATCTATGGTCGATTGTTTTGTTTTTTTTAAATGTATTTTATATTGATTTCAGAGAGGGAGGGAAAGGGAGAAAGAGATAAAAACATCAATGATGAGGGAGAATCATTGACCAGCTGCCTCCTGCATGCCCCCTACTGGGAATCGAGCCAGCAACCCAGGCATGTGCTCTTGACCGGAATCAAACCTGGGACCCTTCAGTCCACAGGCCAATGCTCTATCCACTCAGCCAAACCCAATAGGGCGCTCAATTGGTTTTTAACAAGGATGCTAATGCAATTAAATGAGAAGAGTCTTTACAACAAACAGTGCTGGAAAAATAGAAAAACTCAGCCATTTGCCTTGTTTTTTAAATAATTAGTATATTATTCCTGATGTCCTCAATTCTTTGAGCAACTGCTTTTGCTGAAAGGCTAATAGTCTTAAGTATGTTTATTTTTTCTGAGCACATGTTTTCAGCTATTGCAATCAAACATGATTTAATTAATTCATTATTGGTAGATGGCATTCCTTGCTCATGCTAACAAATGAACCACTCAGAAACTTATTTTGGTTGTAGACTCATTTTCATTTTTTTTTTTTGAGATGAAATTCTGCTGTGATATTTCATTTTAAAATTTCTAATTATTCTGACTGTTGCTGTCCTGTAAGCTGGAAATATTGCAATGACTGCTTATTTTGATAATGTTGACATTTATCATGTTCTTTTAGCAGAGCTATAGTGTCACTGTATAAGACACACAATGCTTTGCCATCTAATCTTATAACAAAATAATCTATACTTCACTCAGCTTTAAAACACTAAGTCCAGTTTTCTCTTTTTTTCTTGTTTTAACATGATTGCCATGCACTGATCATAAAAAATAAAATAATATGCCATATGATGACAATATGCATGACACTAAAACGCCCTCGAGTTATTATAACTGCATCACTGTGACTTGTGGACACTGAGCAGCAGTAAGTACAAAGTGATGAGACTGACCCATATGGTCGCACAGCATGAAAACAGCCATAGGCACCATGTGAACACATAAGTGTGGCCGTGGTTCCAATATATCTATGGACACTGAAACTTGAATTTTATATAATTTCTACATATCATGATACGTTATTCTTATATTATTTTTTCAACTATTTAAAACTGAAAAACATTACTAGCTTACAGGGATCTGTTAAATATTATTTAGTGGTCCTGGCTGGTGTGGCTCAGTTATTTGAGCGTCATCCCATGCACCAAAAGGTCGCCGGTTCAATTCCCAGTCAGGACACATGCCCGGTTGTGGTTCTATCCCCAGTGGTGGGTGTGCAGAAGGCACAGATCGATATTTCTCTCTCACATCAATATTTCTCTCTCTTTCCCTTCCTCTCTTTCTAAAACCAATAAAAACATACTTAAAAAATATTATTTAGTAATGGTGACAGATTTCAGAGTCCTGGTTTGCTGGG